ACATAAAAAGAGTTTTTTGCCAAAACAACATGAAAGATAAAGTCAATTTAGCTCTATCCCGGTGCTAGCCCCTGTGGAACCAGGCTTCAAAGTGTGGGTTGAGTGTTAACTAATAAACCCTTGATGCCAACAACTGTGGAATTTGTCAACAAATTAGTTGACCCTGGCTCAAGATTATAAATTTGGGTTAACTAACTCCAAATTTAACACAAACACTTGTGGATGCTCTTACAGGTACAAAAATGAAGGCCCGTGCCAAAGCCCTTGTCAAGTGCACAAACCCTGTCAATCCCAAGAGTCTCCTTGAACAACAAAAACTCAAGAACATTGAAAAACTGCCAAGGATCTCAAACTGGTCACTGGTAAGTTGTCAAGTTTGCTATCCAACAGCCCTCTGAAGCAGTAGCCACAACTCTGAACAGAAAGAAAATAACCTCAATGAAATTTTGCAGGACCAATGACAAGGCCACCACAGATACATTACCGGTATTGTATTGGCAATACCAGCACTGTAGCCGGCTACACATTACCACAAACTTGACTTTTGAATATTGTATACGGCTCCGGTTTTGATACCCAGAACCGTAATGTCTCTAACAATACCTATTCCAAGGTATGCGAGGTACCGTATCACACAAAACAGAGTGATACGGTACAATACCATATTGTCAGATTTGCTGACAATACATTTGCTGACAATATGGTATGGTATTGTATTGTAGGCAATGGGGCAGGGTATGGTGCCGTTGTGAATGATCCAATGCAGAAAGGCTCACCTTGGAAAGGGGATAGATGACTTACCAATTGGTCCATGTATGATTTCATGAGCAGAAGGGTCAATTCATCTTGTAGCCGTCCTGGGGTTACAGTTCTAGTACTGTAGCCTAATCCAGATACTGGAAAAACAGGGTATCTGGTATTGTACTGGAGGCCGATGTAGAACTTATAACCCAACAAGGGTTATACAGAGCTGGAAGAGGATAATCTACTAATAAAGTGACTAGTAGAAGTTGTCTGAGACTGCTCTTCTAAAACAACACAATCAGGAAAAGGCGCTGTTGTATTGAGTACTGATAAGGCACCAGAGAAATATAACTTTCACACATATTGGTAACTTCAAAAGCACAATTTTTATTACTATCAACACTGCTATAGTGTTATTCCCAAATGATCACTGAAAAAAATAAGCAATATCTTTATGATATTATTCCCAATAAGTCTTTTTGAATGCAATACTAAAGTAAATTTCTCTTTATAGCTATAATAAAGGGCGTATTTAAGTGACCAGGTACTATTAAAATAAGTTTATATGATGATAAACAAAATAATAACTGCGTAAATGATAAAGAAAAAAGGGGAACCACAGTCCAGAATCATCTCAAAGTATATTTAACAATGTCCTCCAACTCTTACAATGGTCAACAGCCTCAAAACCAATCAAATCTGCCCAAAAATCCCTGAAAACCCTATGATGACGCAATGTAATGATTTTGTTACTAATAAATGATGTAATCTTCACAGCTAAAAGTGATCAATGACGCAATAATATGATGTACAACACTTCTTATGATGAACACAGGTGATTTTTTCCTTGTAAACTAGCTGAAAACCAAATTTTGAGATTACAAATGTTTTCAGATGAAGTCCAATTTTTGATTACTAAAGTTAATCGTGTAGCCCCCGTGTTACTGATCATTTATAACCCCCATATGACCTATTTCTGATGAGTGATGAGTAAGATGTTGAGTTGTGAAGTTAAGGTTTTTAGTGTTACATGTTGACTTGTGACTGTAAATTTGAGATTCACACCAATTTCTTATTTTCCTTGTATCTTTTTTCATACACCTCCTCTACTAGTGACTTAAAGTTTGTACATTATGTAATCCACTCTTCTTTGTTGAATGAGCTATCTACCAACCTAATCTGACGTCATTTGACATATGTAATTAGCTGAAAACCTTCATTTTCAACAAAATTCACCCATTTTCTTCACTTTTCACAGCTGCTACAGTTGAACCACACTCCCAGCAAAAGGTAATTTTCCCAAGGAAAAAATGATTACATTTAATACATTTTCAATCAAAAATGCTCATTTAATGCTGAATAATGCTGATTTAATGCTGATTTAATGCTGATTTAATGCTGATCAAATGCATTTTCAATCATTTTTTGCTCTAAATGCATTCATTTTTTACTTGGGAAAATTACTTTATGCTGGTAGTGCCAGTCTAGTGTCAACCACGACCGCTTGGCAAAAACAAAATTTTGTTACAGAAATTTATACACATGACTCATACTGATAAACATCATGTAATACATCATTTTTGGGCTTATTACACGGTGTTATTGTCAGGAATGACTTGAAAAGTTGATCTGATGGGCCAATTCTTTTTTAAAAAAACTTTTTTTTCCAAAACCTCAGTATTTGGGTCTAGGTACCTTAAGGGGCCTAATATTAAGTACGTAGGGACTTAACTTAAGTACTTAAGTACTCAACCTAAGTACTTAAGTACATAATTTAAATACTTAAGTGCTCAAGTCTGATATTGTGGAGGGCCTCCAAGGTATTCTGGAGGCGCCAAAATTTGGGTCTTGGGGCAGGCCTGGGGTTGAGACTAGCCTGGTTCAACTGTACTCTCTTTTACTTGCTCATGTAATATGAAATCATCCTCTATAGCCTTGAAAATCCCGGAAAATCCTCTTGGCAACCTTAAATTTCACTATTACCACCATTACATATGCAAACTACACATATACCCCTTGTTTACCAACTTTGAAAAAGTACCTTTTCTCTAATAACTTCTGTTTCTCCTTATCAAACTTCAAGATTCAAATTGTTACAATATAACATAATGTTGTTCTTTCATGTTCTAACCTCATAAAACCCATAACTCTATTATTAATACCCCAAAAACCATTTTCCAACCTTTGTACGTATATTTTTGAATTTTTCTTATGTTTTTCTTTCTTTCTTTTTGTAAGAAGTTTGTGAATGAACTTTAATGATCTTAATAAGCAATTTGAAATAAAACAATGTAATGTTAACCCAATGACCAATACATAAGCCCATAAGAGCTTCAATTGATCTAAAAACTTCCATTTCAAGATTTTCTTCCCTGCTAAACTTTTCTGGCAAACTGGTAAACTGCTAATAATGAATTTTTTTGATTGATCCCATAAATTGATCACCACACCAAGTACAACACTAAATACTGTACCCTGATTGGTGATACTGCCAGAAATCATCTTGGGTATTTTAGCCGTAGCCCGGCTACAATACTCAGGGTACAATACCCAAGTGATCAGATATGGTGCCACACAATACCAATACTGGCATTGTATCTGTGGCGGCCTTACTATTGAGACAAGGTCCCATATGCCTTGCCTTGTCTCAATATGTTGAGTTACCTCCTAAAATCTCACCTCACTCCCACTTTAGCCTTGTTCTAGCCAACATCAAATTGTCACCCAATCAATAGAACTAACGGTGTCAACTGCATGCACCACCTCTTCCTTGAATTACTTTGCTTCTCATCCTATTACAAACTCTCATTCAAAGGTGCTTGTTGAAGACTACAACTGTCTTTCCTCAAATTATCAAAATCCTGTTATCTGCTCTTCCAATTACAACATTTACACTATCAAGCTTCCAAACACATAGATAATCAAAGCCTACAACTGCCTTGTCCTCAAATGATCAAATTCTATTCTCTGCTTTTTAAATTAAGAGACTCACTCTATCATGCTTCTAAACCCATAGGTTCTTCCTTGCCCCTTTGGTCAAACATCAATTGTCCTTGATTCCCACCTTTCCTTCTCACTTGAGTTTGATTATCACTTTTCCTTGCAATTAAAATAGATTTAGGATACACAACATTCACATGATTTGATTGCCAGTGCATGAAACATGATAGGCCAAGCAATAAAGCAAGCAAGCAATATGTGGCATGTACATACATACATACCAACCTGATGGATTTGCAAATAGGTGGGATTCCTGTGCTTGTCCATTGGGGTAAGACAATGTTGGGTATTCCACCTTACCTGGGCAATTGTACACCAGGGGGTAAGGGCCTCAGCACCAGACCTTGTAAAAAGTTAAATACAGGTTGTTTTACAAACCCATGAGCACAAATCCAAGGCACCGGACCTTGAAAACAACCTGTTTGGTTTACACAACATGTAAATCGTGACCCTGCCTGTCCATAAATGGCCAGCAGTGTATAATCCAAAAATCACCCAAACCAACCAAACTACCAAAATTAACCTACCAATATCAATGTATGAAGTCTTACAGTCAAACAACAAACTTGCACAACATATCTCAATCACATGCAAAGCAACCACACGGTCATTCTCATATCCCATATCATCTGGGGTGGGCAATGTATGATTTGGACTTTTGTACATTTGCAACACCTTGCTTTTGCCAAAATTTTACAAGGTTCCCGGAAAGTAGGCATACACCGTCTTTCCTGTCAACTCTGTGTCATACAGCAAACAAATTGTGTCCCATTTTACAAGGTCCGGTGCTGATGCTCTTAGTGGATGTTGGAAACTATTGCTCACAAGAAAGTGACGCTAATCACAGGAATTTCATCAACAAATGCTGGGCAAAACACGCGACGGAAGTCAGTCGGCCAAATGGCAATTAACAAGAGTGTGTGTGGAATGTTTGTAATTTGGCAAGAGAAGAAACAAAGTAGAGCTGTGGTTCACAATACTTGACGCAATGAAAAGGTGGAATATCTGGCCTATCAGTGTGGCAACTTTCTTTACTGATTTGTATCTTGTCATACAATGAACATGTCAGAATCATCTGGCTGCTACGGAGTCTATAATAGAACCACACATTGGGTCAGCCTGGCTGCCTGCCTGCCCACGGGAGGCCCGACAGGTGTACAAAGGGGCGAAAGCTTCATTTCAAATTTGCTTACGTCGTCAGATGCCAAAGACTTTTGTTTGCAAACCCGTACGTAGACGGGAAGACGGACTCATTACTAGGTTCTCTCTGATATACTAATTGCTTTTATCTCATCATTAACCCAGCTTGCCAACATCTCCCTAGTTACCACGGCGTTATCATTGGGCTCATACAACCGTCTTAAGTTGTCAAATGCTGTAATTGAGAATGCAATACGTCACAAGGATTTCTATCAGAGGAATTTTGGATTTGTGAAAATATCCGAGTTGAGAAAGTTGAAGCACATACTAGGTCCACTGAACGGTGCGTCAGCATTCAGCCACTCGTTAACTCTAGACAATTTGGAGCCTAGCAACGAATTGAATGATACTTTGTCTGATGCCTTCCTAGAATTGATGGCTATCACTATCCGATCTCCAGCCCTTGCAGGCGATATCCAAGCCACGACGAAGATGGGTGCAAAGACCAAAAAGCAAGCTAAGAACATTCGCATTTTCATCTTTTAATTATTCCCAGGCGAGTGTATTTGAAATTTTATGATAGAGAATGACTTGAGGGAAAGTGATTAATGATTTGGTCTCGAAAAGAGCGTTTGCTGGTGAGTTTTACTGAGTGATAATGATGAATTTCAAGGAAAACAAGCTGAGAAATGAGGAAGTGGGAGGATCATGCCCCTTTTCAGCAGTATTTATACCCTTTCCTGACATTTGGTCATCAGATGCCAAGTCGCGTCAAGCTACCGGCACTATCGCGGTGTTCGCACTACCCCCAATATGAGACCATACCCCTCTCCAGGGGACTAATTCTCTGTCGAAATTTTCACGGATTTAAACGCTAGCTATACTAGTCGTTTTAAGGTTGAGCAACTATGTATAAGCTAGATCATCCAATATGAGACTTCACCATCAGTCTCAAGTTAGGCGAAGTTTTATGTGAGGTAGTTTACTTCAATCTCGAGATGTTTTCGCGTAAAAAACATTGTCCGAGTATGTCATAAGCTCGAGAGCGGAGAAGGCAGGAGAAAAACAAGTGTGACATTATTGTCTGACTTGCAATGTGACTAAAAATTTTTCATTTGCAGTGTGTATCATTTCAAGTTTCTTATCGAATGAGGTATTCTATTTTCCAGAAGATCAGGATCTTGCAAGAGTGCTAGTTCTGACGGGTCTCGTTCAAAATTATAGTTCGAGACATTCCACCACAATAGTCATCACGCCAAGGCTAAAGCGACACGTATCACATAGCTCCACGAATCAGCTAATGAGATCATGAAAAAGTCTCCTCTGGTTGAATCATTGCTAATCTTCCAGAATCTTTTAGTGCTCGAGAGGGCAAAAGGGTGTCCGTTCATTTCATCATGGCATGGATGACATGAGCTATGGATGTTACTGTTAGGAAGACATCACAAGACCAAATCATTCCGAGACCGTGCTTGTTGAGTTGGACATGCTCCAAATAGGAAAGAGTTCAAGATGAACAAGAACTCGTCTTTGAGAATGCAAGAAATTATGAAGCATCGGGTCAAAAGGTCAGATATGAGGGGAGAAGATAGAAAGACTGAGAAAATGGACACATAGAATCGAAAAACGGAATGCATATGCGGGGGTTCCCGTCCTCAGGGTCCGCTGACTCCCCACTCATTGGCCCTTTTACAATTACCTGAAAATCAGCATATCGATTTCTTTTTAGGAATCAGTTGAAGTTTCTTAGTAACTGGAGTTATTCGAGACACTGGCAAACCCAGAACTAGTGATATCATACTCTCAAGGCATTGGATTCGGAATTTTGACAACAGTATTGAGGATTAGGATATGAATCTCATGGATGTCTAGAAAAAGTCGAGGCGCGAATTCCAAGTCTGGGTGGACGATATAGATTGGGATTTGGAATTGGGGATGATGAGTTGTGCATGTAGATTTGTATGCAAATTGTCCTGTCTGGTGTAGCAAAATTCCAAAGCCTCTTCCGATCCTAGTTTTATTATAAGGTCACCTCACGTCTCATAACATGCAGAGTTTGTAAAATTTGAAGTGAAAAATGAATGCAAATCATGCAAAGAACGACCAGCTCAGTTTCAAAACTGTCATACATAAGTGAGATCATATCAACCTCAATCATGTTGGTTGAAAGCTAAATGACGCATGGTCTGTGTTGTATATATAGTAGACGTCATATTATTCGTTTCCTCCTCATTGAAAAAAAATAACAATATTCCACATCGTTCAGATCATGCTCTCGAATATCTCAGCTCGGTACTAATCAGGAGCTGATCGCCCTGATATTCGTCTGAGGAGTCCATGAGTCGCAGAGCCTCGCCCAGCTCTTTTATCTCGTTTTTGACCCGGATGGTGGATTGCGTTGCAACTTATGAATGTCTGTTAGCTTGAAATCGATCCAGTTGACCAACACCTTGCTAGATATTGGAGCGCGGTGGACGCCAAATTCTTTTACATAAGAATCTTTCAAATTTTCAAAATCTGTGACCGAAAATAGGTCATAAGAAAACGTAGTTGATAAACGTTAACTCTGTGAATGGCATCCAATATCCTTGTCAATGAGTTAAATGAAGCGCATACCCTCTCCTTCTGCTTTTGCATCGCCTTCGAGCCACTTGACTACGTGATTGGCATCTTCTTTGCCGAGTAGCTTCTCGAATCCGTATGGGTTGGATGCCTTTTTCCTATTGATTTCCTCAATCACTTCCCATATGGATCCTATCACGAAGAGGGGTGCGAAGATCGAAAGGCAAAATAAGAAGAGTCTCATGTTTTTAATGAATTATTTGATCTTGTAAAGGCACAATTATGAAGTCTTGAAGCGATTTGAGCCTAAGCGAACGTGGTAGATGATTTATTATAAGGTGAGTAGTAGTAGTACGAGGTCGGGATTCTCACTGAGTAAAGACAGCAGAAATTTGGACTGTGGAGTGAAGATAGCCTTAGGCATGCTGTCTGTCAGCGGTACTTTTGCAGTTGGGCATCAGTTGATCGTAGGTGCCATTGTGATACTCGCACTAAACCCAAGATGAGACCACGCCTCCCAAACATTCAAGCAGAGCGTCAAGAGACTGATACGTTGTCTGAAAATCAATGTTAGAAGCTACCTCATGGCCCAAGTGCAATGTACACATTCGAAGGTGGTCGACCTTTGTCGACTACATGAATCGATCAAATTGGCGAGGATTTGGCGTCACTTTATCGAAGCCACCCTTCGCGTGATGTAAGTCCCCTCGAGGTTTTCACTGCAAAACACAAGGAATTTCCAAAAACCCAAAATAAGGAATCCATCTTAAAAAAGATGCACGCACCACTCTGCAGCCAGCCTGCAAACACAATCAGCCAGGTCATCACCTGGCCAGCAACTGCTCAAATCCATCTGAATCTGATATGTGCTTATGTCTAATTTTAGCCCACATCTCATTCACACACCCAACCACGAAGACTACATATACAACTCAAATTGTAAGTCCCAGGGAAAGAGTGAAGAAATCATTCCACTATTTTTCAATTGTACATAGACAGCAATACCATCAACATCTTTTTGGCATTTTGGAAATGGAAAGATTTCTAAATGAATTTGCTGATAGTGCAAAGCAAGACTTGAATTTTTTCGTAGTCAAGGCAAGTTTCACGTTAGGCCTCAATCAACTAAGTCCCTCCTCAAACCGCGCGTGTCCTCCAGAGCTCCGGGGAACATCTCTGCAGTTGGTAGGGATTGTGTTAAGGTAGTATTGGGTCTGACTGATCTGACTGAAGTTGGAAAATACAAAAGCCTGTTCTTGTGCTACAGATGTTTCTTTATTTCATGGTTTTATGTGTTCATTCAGTCCTAAGACTATTGAACATTTCTGCACTTATTTCTAGTACCATCGAAAACACGGTGGCTGTTCCGGGAAAAGGTAACTAGTGGCTGTTTAGTGTGCATGTACAAAGGTATTACAATTGGTTATATGCAATGAAGGAATGGTGCAGGAAGATAGAAAAATCATTCCTGGGGGAAGGAGGTGTCCACAGGATGGGGCTTGTCAACAATGTTACCCCAGACCCATCTGTGTTGGAATCTCCATGTTGAGTTGCAGAAGGCTGATATGACTTTCAAGGTGTTTGCATTGGATAGGATATTCTTATTCATCCTAATTCTGAGTTCAAGGGCTGGTGGATCCAGTTTTGTACGTTTTTATGGTGCCTGTGACAAACAAATAGAAAGTGTTCCACTGTTTCAAGCCCCTCCTGACATTCACATGTAGGATCAAGGAGTTGCTTGGAACTGTTCAAGTATGTGTTTAGTGGTGTGTGTCCTGAACATATCTGAGTGATTGGACTTTCAAAATTTGTCAAATGCTATCCATGTGTCTTTGTGAGTGAGGCTTGTGGCCTAACTGTTTGATGGCTTCTTGGCTGAAAGTCTTGGTCAGAGTTGTTCTCCACTCCTTGATGGCGGAGATGTACATTTATCCATTTCTCATTTTTCTTTTTGGAAAGGTGTTGTACATATCTAGTCTCTCAACATAGTTAAAGTACAGCACTGTGTCGCCTGGAGGCCACAAGTAGGGCCAGTATTAAGGTGTCTGCTCTCTGAGTGATTTCTATGAGGGTTTTAAGTCTCTCCTCATTGTAATTGACACAGAAGCCGAGCTGCCTTGAAAGATGTGAGCCAGAGAGCCAAAGTCTCTCAAAGCAAAACATGTTTCACCTATGAAATGCAACATATTTCATATATCTGTAGGGAGGGCAGGATGGAGTAAAAAAATTACTATCCCTTAAAGGGAAAAACCCTTTCTGAGCTAGATAGTTTGTAACTATCAATCAAAGACTTAGAGAAACAGGGATTGCTTAATGAGGACAAGATTGAGGGTCGCAAATAGTGAAAAACTGAAGACTAGGAAACAAGCAAGAGGACTAGAGTAGGTAAGGGGGAAGGACCTTCTCCTTATACCCTCTTGTTCTCTAGTACCTTGGAGATGCAGTCAGATATGATGTTTAGTGTGTCACTCTTTTCCATCATCTATGTCTCCCAGCCTGCATTTCATAAGGCCTCTTTTGGACAAAGGTTCTCCAACTTAGACATAGATCTGTCTTTGTGTGTGTTTTCTACCCATTCAAGATAGTTCAGTCATCATGGACTTGCTCCACATTTTGTGCCTCGTGTAAAGACCAAAATGTGGATGTGTTTGGTGAGTTTGTGAAGGTACTGGGTAGGTCACTTTTGGCAAGTGTGTTGGCAATTTTGTCAACCATTTTGTTTCCTGGGGTCCCAGAATGACCAGGACACCATTGTATATTGATTTTGAGGTTTGGGTAACTGTGGTAGAGGCTATGATTCCGAAGGAGATCAAGAGTCTTTCTTTGATTGTCAAGGGAGGCTAGGGATGACAAGTCAGATTTCAGGTCCTTGACTACACCTTGGTTGTCAAGAATAATTGTGGCTTGTTGCGTGTGGCCTGTTGCCAACTCAAGGGTGCTTTGGAGTACTAGTTGGACTCCTCAATATTCAGCTGGACAGATTCCATGTGATCTTTCCGGCCTAATGTAACAGATTTCAATTTCTTAGTGTTTGCACACCAAGCCGCCACTGCTGTGTTTTTGCTTGGGATTCTCAATCCATCTGTGAAGATTAAGATGTGACTGTCTGGGGGTTGAAGCCACATTGTGTTAGCTTTAGCAATCTATTTGTTTGGTTGGATCAGTATAGAATATTTGCAAGGTTTAATCAGAATGGGCACTGGATCCACTGGAAGTTGAATGATGTGTTCTTTGAAGTGTTTGCAAAGCGGGTGTTGAAAAAATATGTCAAAAGGGTCTTTGTGGTACTTGGATGAGGAAGGTGGGACATGTTGTATAAGTTGAAATAAGGGGTGTGATTGATGTCATGACATCACTACACAGGAATTAATACCATAGTACCCTTGTTTACCATCCTCAAATTTCCTTCCTTCTTGAATAATTTCACTCCTCCCTTATCAATGTCCATGATTAAAGTTGTTGCTGACCGGTTTTATCCTTCTCTTTGATAATTTGATCTTCTTGAACCCTCAAAACACTTAATATTAACCATAAAATCATTTCCCAACTCTTATACCTATATTTTTGACTTTTTCTTCAATTCTTTCAATTTTATCCTTCTGATTTCATTCTTTTCAAGACAGTTTCCATTATTTCTGATTCAAACTAACTGTTCTTCTCCATCAATTCCTTTCTTACTGATTCTTTTTAATTTATTTTTACTCTTTTACTATTTTTATGATTATTTTGAATTTTTCTCTTCTTATAATTGGTCTTATCAAATGATGTAATTAACACCCATTTTGATAACTGGTGTGTGAAATTTGCAACTCACTGTGCACCACCAAAAAATTCCACTGAATTTTGGTCACATATGTGACTCATAAAAGTGATTTGGTAAACTAAAGTTTGTCAAAAGGCGCACACGCATTTCTGCACATATATGTGCAAAAATCATGCACATTCTTAAAAACAACTTTCAATCAAATGTTTTTGGATAATTCAACTGTGATCTCTCATTGCTCTCTCTTCTCAACCTATTACTCTCTATTTTTTTGTACTTCACCAAATTTCATCCTTCATCACCACCAGCAAAATCAACTTTTCTATCCCTGGACTCACAGTAGCTTCAAACATTGGATCCTCTGAACAACCTCAATCTTGACGTCACCTTTTCAATCTTGATCTGGCCTTCCTTTTGTCAATCTCAACAAAAAATGTTCTCACTCAACCTCAATATCGACCTTCTTTAAATGATCCCAAGTTCCTTGTCTTCCTCTGAATCACCAACAATTTCTTTTATCTCAAGTAGCATTCAAACATTTCCGTGTTGATTACCTCACTTGTTACATATAGCTTATATGATTTGAATTTATCATTATTAAAGATGTTTTATCAATGCAATTGATGATCATTGATACAAAAAAGCTTCAATGTTATTGGAAAATGAATTGCAGTGAACAATCACCCAAGTCTCTTTGGTTTGAATAGCCAAGAAGTGAATGATGTTGTGGTGTTGAGGGGAGGGAAATTTGACTGGTTCAGGCATGATTGAAGTCAATGACCTTTTTGAACAGATGGCACAAAGTGTTATCGTGATCAATGGTGCTGAATAGCAATCACATACCTTGGTTAACCAAATGTTCCCAAAAAACAAAGTGTTGTGTGATTTTACATATACACACATGATGAGAATAATTCTCACTGTGATGTAAAAGTTGCATTAAATTATTAATGCAACTCTTTTTGCCAAAGTGGGTGTAATATATGATGAGTTATATCTAACTTCAAGACACTTGATGACCAATATCATCAATAATAAATCTGCTTCTAACTAAAACACAATTTTTCACATAATTTTCAATTTTTTTGATTACATAACATATACTGATCACCACAACATATTTTATACTTTTGATACTAAGTCAATAAGGTGTGAATGTCTTTGAGAGACGGTTATTTTCTATGATTCATATATCATGTTTTTGTATTTATGCATTTTCAAGGTGCTTTGCACTCAAGAACTGGCACAACCTTTGAAACCAAGTCAGTAAGTTGTATTTAATTAGGATATGTTTAATAAAGACAATATGTGTTATATAAAATATTAAGACAAAAGTTTGTTTTATATTATTCTCATTCATTGTAGCTCTTCTGGTTCTTATGTGTGAGAGCTCAGGAGCTGGCATTCTTTGTGTGTCCAGATTGTAGAGGCAAAATGTGGCATTCAGAATGTGATCAAGACACTACATGAGTTGCAGAAGA